GTGACTGCAGAGTGTATGTGTAGTGTGTGTAGTGAATGCAGAGTGTGTGTTTGTGTAGTGGATCATGTGTGTAGTGGATGCAGTTTGTGTGTTTATGTGGTTTATGGTGTGTTTGTGTAGTGGATGCTGTGTGTGTAGTGGATGATGTCTGTAGTGGATGCAGTTTGTGTGTTTATGTAGTGGATACATGTGACAGATCCATCTGTGTAAAGACTGATTGCTGGTTCGTCTGTTTTACCTTTTAGTGGAATTACCCGTTCGTATGCCTCTGTTCAGTGAATTGACTTTTTCCGCAGAACAAAGCTACCGAACAGACGGCCACCCAGAAGAGAAGTGTGCTGCTGGTTAACCTCTTGATCCCTATTAGAACGTTGTGGTTAACCGCAGACACTTCTCAATTAAGAACCGAATACCGGGTGGTTATCGTTCGTATGTCGACCACGAGGCGGTGGCCATTTTAAACCATGCGAAAGACCATCGGTGTTAGGCATGGATTTCATGGAACTGAAAACGGACACTTTTTCTACCGAACACCACTGAAGCCGTGGACCTCCCTTCTCAATCGACAGAAGGATGCGAACACCGGCCGTTCGGGAGGTTTAAACACACGAATGGACTTACCCTAGATAGCCTTCCCATGGAGTCAATCGCATACCGAAGGACTGTAATAGACTTTGACTCCATGGCGATTGAACTATGCGTATGGGAACTGAGCGCTATTCGCCAATAATATGCACTCAGATCCAGGCTATCTGGGGATATGTGATACGAATGGGTAGCATTCGACAGATGCAAAGTTATATATTTTTATATGTTTTTCTGTGTTGAATTTAAAATGGCGATTTGTCCTTGTCCTGGAGATAATTGAATTACTTCTCAATTATCTCCAGGGCAGAGGGGAGGAAATACTAATGCATGCTGGGAGATATATGTGTTCGGCTACTATTGGCGATTCGTGAGTTTGGAGCTCGAGAAGTGAAGTGCCCGTACGGATCCCGTTCCTGAGTTTACAGCGTTCCCTTGCTCGCAGTTCGTATGCTTGTACTTGATACGCATACAGCCTATGTTATACCGAGAGGGGAGTATTCACTAAACGGCGGATTGCACATCTGATGCTGAGGGTACCATATCATTCCCCATTTTGGTGGCGTTGGAGGTGTGGGATCCCCAACTCATGGACAGGCGGGTTGTTTTCCATTGCAACAATTTTGGGGTGGTGCAGGCTATTAATCAATTGACCGCTTCTTCTCCCCCAGTGGTACGCTTGCTGCGGTGCTTGGTCCTGAACTGTTTGGGGCTTAATGTGTCTTGTAGGGCTGAATATATCCTGGGGGTTCGCAATGTAATCGCCGATGCTCTCTCTCGTTCACAGTGGAATGTTTTTCGTGCAGAGACTCCACAGGCCGAAGTGGAGGGCGTCCCGTGCCCAGTGGAGATGTAGTCGCTAGGTCTGGCAGACTGATGGAGTTGGTCCATGGGTTGGTCTCTGCGGTGTGGAGGTGTGGAGTGAATGGGACCGGTAGGAGCAGCCCCATGGGGTTTCCAAGACTTGCCCGCTCACCTGCAGCTCACTTCCCATCTCTTAGGTGCGTGGGAGGCTGCGGGGTTTTCCCCCTCTGCGATTTTATGGGTGCTTTGCGGGGCTCAACTTCATGTTCAAGTTGTGGGATTGGAGTGGGGGGTGTCCTCACAGGACTCGAGGTGTCATGTCTCTCTGGTGCTCTGTGACGGACCGCCTGGCACCCTGACCGGGTACCTCCGTCAATCGATGCTCCTAGTGCTCACCAAGGACTCCAAGCACTCCACTTGACACCATCTGTACTGTAGACTCCCCACAAACCGCCGCAACTGGGTTGGAGATATAGCGGTACCAAGACCAGGATCCAGCTTCCAGTGGGTGAACCTCTCCTATTTTAGAGAGTCTAGCAGGAACAGCTCTTATAAGAGCTAGTGATTAAAATTTCAGGGGAGTATAGTGATATAGCAATCCCCAGGGTAAATGTAGCTGCCCCCTCCACCCAGGGTAAATGTAGCTGCCCCCTCCACACATGAGACGAGACTCTATGTTGAGGGTGAAGAGGAACTCATTTTAATGGTGCCACCCTGTGGGGATATTTATGGGATGATAAATTTAAGCAGTCGAGAATTGCCCACTATTTCAATTCTCTTAGATCTTAGAGATCGTTTATCATGTAAGTGAAAAGTATTCCATACAATTAATGGTCACAATGTGTTATAAAAATAGATTTTATTTTATAATAACAATTAATTAACAATAATACTAGGCAGCATGCATAATAATAACAATCAGTGAATATTTAGTATAACATAGTATGCAATACAATGGAATGGGTATACACGTTTCATTTTCTGTCAAGACTTACACGATTTATGAGGGTATCCTTACAGACAGAAAGTGAAGCTTTTCACAGCGAAGAACCATAAAACACTGGCTAACAGTTAGATCAACTGAATAACCCTTTCAATGCTGGCTAGATCCTCCTAGACATATAGTATCCTATTCTCCTATGATTTTCAATTAACATAACATTTAAACCAGTTCATTAGTCATTTCCTGGAACCATCCAATAAGAATAATCTACCAGATTCTATAAGCTGAATTTTAATTTGCCTAAAAAGATATCTTATCTTATATTAGCGCAAATCAATACACCTGGATAAAAACAGCGGTATGCTAACACATGATACTATCACATTAATATATAATTATTCTTAATTCCACCTGCAGAATGAAATGTTATAACTATATATTCTTTAGTTAACTAAGATTCCTAAATATGGAAATCTGACCGTGATTTATCCAGTCATATATCATGCTATTAGTAAATTTTAATTAATTTAAATTAATTAAATAAAACCAGCATAATTACCAGTTATGTAGATATTCTCATCAGATGAGTAGGTAGTCCCAGAGACTTGATTGGTTCTATGTAGGTGCATGAGTTATAGTGAAAGGTGGTGTTGGTTAGAAAGTCAGTAAAATTCTAAGTGTTAGAGTTCTGAGAGTAGAGTGTTAGTCCCAGAGATTGTCCTGGATTTCTCTGCATGTCCGAATCGGATGCCCAAACTTCAATTCATCTCTCTGTCTCCCACTCCAACTCCAACTACCTCTGTCTTCCCTTTGTCCTAACTTTTAAAGGGCCAGACTCTTTGTACGTCATTAGTTGATAAACCAATAGGCAGCCGTAGGTGTGTCCAATCTAAGGATCGCAATTTAGGTATTTGATCCATAGAGGGCAGTCTCGTCTAACGAAACCTTCCTATCCAGGAAAGAGTTAACTTTTCCTGATGACGATTTTGACGTCAATTGGCTTATCTAAAATGACTACCATAACTTAGATTTGCTGTCAGTTCAAAGCATTTGTGCCAGTCTTTGTGGCAACTACCTTGGTCGTAACTTGTAAAATTGACAGTTCTAAACTCAATTTCCCCCCTTTCGTACAATGGTACCTTATAAAATTTAGAAAGTAAAATTAATTACTTAGTCTTCTCTGTCATTAGTGTCTGTGTTTAGATATGCATCTATTCCATTAACATTTTAGACAGAGCGTTCCATCCCCCTTGCTTCATTTCTTATCTTGGTTTGTTTATGTAATACATTCCTCAGCTCAAGCAAGTGGCTAGTTACAGAAAGTAAGAAGAAATCAAGGAAATTATGTGTTTTTGTTATCCTGAAGATAGCAAAATGGAGTCTGCTTTGTTCTGAGTGACTTGGCAATATACACTTTTAATTTCTTTTTAGCACAAAATGTCTGTTGATATAAATATTCTGACAACACGTGGCCTCATATGACAATCCCCATGCAAGGGGTACTCCAATATGGACCTTGTTGGGGACTCCTTTACAAAGTCACAGACCAATAATAATAGTGTTACAATGCATGACACTCCCATACAATACAATAAGCCTTCCCCTTTGTGACAGGACCAATCTCGCCATTGTGCATTGGAGGAGTCTGGTTGCCCGCCTGCTAACTTTAGACTATGGCCCCATGTTGAAACGCTTGATTTTCCCCAGCAGAGACACGAAAGCCGGGTCATTTGGTGCTTGCCCTGTTTGAGCGGTGATACCCCAGATAGCTATGCCATGGAGCCCATTCGTATAATGAAAGACTATGGGAAAGAATTTGGCTCCATGGCAATTGAACTGTATCTGTGTGATCTAAGCGCCATTCAGTAATAGTGTGCGCTCAGATCTGAGCTATCTGGGCATATGTTGAATGTACCTGTTTTATGCAATGGCTGCAATGTTTTTATGTATTTTATTGTCTTTTGCTGCCATGTGTTCAATGGTGTTTTGCCTCTGTCCTTGGAGATAATTGGATTACTTCCCAATTATCTTCAGGATAGAAGACTCTGTGGAACTGGTTTTGGGCAGAAAAGCCATGCTTCATTTGGTCACAAAGGACTACGATCTATCTTTTGAACCACTGGACCAATTTGTATGATTTTGACGTATGTTTGTATTTTTTTTCTCCACCGGCCCTACAGGGATGCTGGGCGGTCAGCCCAGATCCCCAGCGGCAGATTGATTTGCAGGGAATAGAGAGCCGTGTCTCCTTTCCCCAACAACAGTGTGAAGTGCAGGGAGTGGAGAGCATCGTCTCCCCTCCCCAGCGGCAGTGTACCTTGCAGGGAGAGGAGAGCAGTGTCCTCCCTCCCCAGTGGCAGGGTGAGCTACAGGGATGCTGGGCGGTCGGCTCAGATCCCCAGCGGCAGTGTGAATTGCAGGGAATTGGGAGGCCAGTCTCCATTCCCCAGCGACAGGCTGAGTTACAGGGGACAGAGATAGTTGCTCCTGTCCCCCAGCAGCTGAGTGAATTGCAGGGAATTGGGAGCCCAGTCTCCATTCCCCAGCGGGAGATACAGCAGGGAATTGGGAGCCCAGTCTCCATTCCCCAGTGGCAGAGTGTCCTACAGGGAATAGAGAGCCCAGTCTCCTTTCCCCAGCAGCAAGACTCTGTATTGGGAGCAGAGACAGTCGGTCTCCCTCCCCCGTGGCTGGAAGTATATATGGGAGAGGAGCTTGTTACCCCCTCTCCCCAGTGGCAGCTTAACGTACCAGGGGGAGACAGTAAGCCCCACAACCGTGCAGATGGGACCGTGGTCTCTGCACTTACAGCACAGGGGGTAGGGATGGTCGGTCCTGCCCCCCAGCGACAGGGCTATTTAGCCAAAGGGGAGACAGTCGGTCTCCTCCTCCAGCAGCAGAGCTGTGTATCCAAAGGGGAGACAGTCGGTCTCCACCTCCAACAACCAGGCTCCAACCAGGCTACTCCCGTGGTAGTGCTGGCACCAGGGCGGAGTACCGCTGGTCTCTGCCCACTCAGCAACCCACCAAGGCAGCTTACCAGTCACCCACACAGCCATGGTGAGGCACCTGGACATGGACAAAGTTCTCCTCTACCCAGGTGTGGTAACCAGTTATTGTGGGTGGGCTGTATTACTGATTGTGTTTTGTGGGTGGGCTGCTGGACTAACAAGGGCACTGACCGGCAGGAGGTCAGATACCCTGTTAGTCTGTTTGGTCTTGTCACATCTCTCCCCTTTTCCAATCTCGCCTCTGTACATTGGAGGAGCCTGGTTGCCCGCCTGCTGCCTTTAGACTATGGCCCCATGTTGAAACGCTTGATTTTCCCCTGCAAAGACACGAAAGCCGGGTCATTCGGTGCATGCCCTGTTTGAGCGGTGATACCCCAGATAGCTATGACATGGAGCCTATTCGTATAATGAAAGACTATGGGAAAGACTTTGGCTCCATGGCAATTGAACTGTATGTGTGTGCTCTGAGCGCCATTCAGTAATAATGTGCGCTCAGATCTGAGCTATCTGGGGATATGTTGCATGTACCTGTTTTGTGCAATGGCTGCACAGTTATATGTTTTTATGTGTTTTATTGTCTTTTGCTGCCATGTGTTCAATGGAGTTTTGCCTCTGTCCTTGGAGATAATTGGATTACTTCCCAATTATCTCCAGGATAGAAGACTCTGTGGAACTGGTTTTGGGCAGAAAAGCCATGCTTTATTTGGTTACAAAGGACTATGATCTATCTTTTGAACCACTGGACCAATCTGTATGATTTTGACGTATGTTTGTATTTGGAGTATGCTGATTCTGAAAATGTATGTGAATGTGATGCATACTTTTAAAGTTATGAATAATGTTGAAAAACTGTATTTCTCTGGCTGTTAAAATTACATTACCCATTGTGTAAGGTAATTGTATCACAGGCAGAGGGGAGGATTTTGTGTGGGAGTGTCTGAGTGTATTGTACATGTTTATTGGTTGTTTTCCAAAACCATGTGGGTGGTACTAATGAGTAAGAATGTGTACATACGAACAATAAACCCACAGCTCTGGCTGTTCACTGCTTGACCCTCAACACAGAGCCTTGTTCTTGGGGGGATTTACTGTATGCTGTTAGAGACTGATTGCCAGGAGTGTAAGCCGCTTGGGTGCTTTTCCTGTTCAGCTGATAGCAGCTATTCGTGAGGTTCCAGTTCGGGAATTTGGAGTACTACTTGGTATCCTGTTCGGGAGTTGGGGGTTCTGCAGTAGCTGTGCCTGTGTCTCTGGAAGGGGAAGATCTACTAAACGGTGGTTTAACCCTTTTATGCTGAGGGTGCCGTTACAATTGGTATTTATACATCGAGATTGGAGTAGAAAGTGTCAGTGCTTCAGAAAAATCTATCCTTAATAACTGAAAAAATGAAAAATTAATAAAATAAAGCCACAGGTTCTTGTGGGTATCGTGCAGATGAACCTACACAGTGATGAGTATGTTGTAGTGGAATTAATTCACCGGATACTTGATGTTCTCGTAGATGATAAAGTGGTGTTGATAATCCACAGCTTAGTATTGCAATTGTGATAAGGCAAAAAACATAGTTGTAAGTGGGATATCATCAAACACATCTTATTTTTACAAACATCTTTTTACAAACACAAAGTAAAGGAATATAGTATTTAAAAAAGTGGTATAAATGTGACCACTAAAATAGTCCAGTAACAAACAGTTAAGCAGTTGAGTTACCCTTCCGTTGAAGCAGCTGTAGTGATAGCAAATTCTTTCTTGGAGCTACACAAAGAATAATGAAACCGGAGGGACGTAGAAATCTCAAACCGCTGGATAATACTGCTGATGACAGGAAAATGCAGGACATGCATTTAGAGCAGATTGAATTTTTTATAGAATGTATTAATTTTATACTAACCAATAATTACTTTCGGCACAATCAAGATATATACCTGCAAGTCACTGGTACGGCTATGGGGACCAGATTCGCACCCAGTTACGCCAACATCTTTATGACCTTCTGGGAACATCTATTTATTTGGGAAAGTCATCCCTGGGTGGCGAATCTAGTCCTCTAGAGACTGTACATAGATGACTGTTTTTTATCTGTGAAGGAGAAGAAGAACTTATGTTAAAATGTTTAAGGTATATTAACACCAATGATTTTAATTTATCTGTCATGCTCCTGAGCAGGTCAGAGAGGAGACGATTGAAAGGGTTATTGGTTAAAATTTTATTTGTCATATTAGACATAATAAATTTACTGAAAATAAAGAATAAAGGGCAGTGTGCCACAAACAGGATACTTTGTGAGAAAAAACAGGGTTTAGGCGATATGCCAAAAACAAGATCTTTAGAAAGTAAATGAATAAAGTCTTTTGTATACAAGCAAGCTTGAAGTTATACCAAGTAGTTAAAGATTTCCAGGATACTTTGCAATGCAGCTAGTTATAGATAAATACCTTTTAGGATAAGGCAATACAGGATCATGCAGAGTTGCAGAGGTTTAAACAGGTAGGTATATTCCAAAATAATATAATGCAGGTTGCTTACAAGATCATGCAGTGATGCAGCAATTGAAGCAGTTAAGATTCTTCAATGACGGCAATACGCCACAAATCAGGATTCTTGGAAGCTGATAAGGAAAGTCTTTTGGTAAGATGTAATTCAGGCAAGTTCAGGATGAAGTAATGCAGGTTAGTGCCTTTCAGTATGAGGAAATGCAGATGAGTACAGGATGAGGCACTGCAGGTAAGTTCTCTAAAGAATGAAATAATGTAGATAAAATACAGGATATTACCAGGAACAGAGATTCTTTATCAGAGAATAGACTTAAATGTCAAGGCACTGTTGTGTGCTGGGAGTAGACTTATCAAGCCTCCTAATTAGTTAATCCAGGTGAGGTTATTAAGGTGAGTGAATAGATTAGTGGCTATTGAGGCCACTAGAGGAGAAAATCATGAAGTTCACTTAAAGGGCCAGTAATAAACGAAAAAGTCTCACCGCTCCGAAATAGACTTTTTAGACCTAGTGCTCTATGTAGAACAAAATGTCCTCAAAACTAAGACCTTTTTTAAGAGTGTGGATATCAATAGTTTTACTCTCAATTCTAGTTTTCACTATCCACCATGGATCATCAATGTCCCCTTGGGACAATTTCGTAGAATCAAAAAGAATTGTACGGACGAATAAGTTTGTCAACAACAAACAGAAATAATTAAAAACAAATAGAGGTGTAACGGCACCCTCAGCATAAAAGGGTTAAACCGCTGTTTAGTAGATCTACCCTTCCAGAGATACAGGCACAGCTACTGCAGAACACCAAACTCCCGAACCGCATATAAGGGAATCCTCCGAACTGCATACAAATGAATGCTCCAAACTCCCAAACTGCATACAAAACAGCACTCCAAACTCCCGAACTGGAACCTCACGAATAGCTGCTAGCAGACGAATAGGAAAAGCACCCAAGCAGCTTACACTCCTAGCAATCAGTCTCTATCAGCATACAGTAAATCCCCCCCAAGAACGAGACAGAGCTCCGTGTTGGGGGTCAAGCAGTGGTCTGGTTTATTGAGGGCTACCTGCCCAGTATTTATGCAGGTCTCCCATCTGGTGGACACTCCCTTAGGGGACCAAATGGGAGACTGTGACAAAGGATAGACATGAACCAATGACAGACACACAGAGGTAAAACATCCCCACACCACTGGCCGTTCAGGACTTTAAAATGTCCGCCGCCACATGTTCGGCAAACGAACAAAGGCCACCCAGCATCCAGCATTACCGCAGCTTATGGGAGGTAAATTGCCGACACACCCCCAATACAGGTGGAACAGTCATTCGGTTGTTTGTTCGGTAGATTGAATCTACAGAACGCCGGGCAGAAAGGCACGAACAAGCCTTTTCTGCAGGGGAAAAGAAGGCTTTTTAACATGGGGCCATAGTCCAAGGGCAACAGGCGAGCAACCAGGCTTCTCCAATGCTTCGTGGCGAGGTTGACTTCGTTTTGCGCCTTTCAGCAGATTGGTGACAACGGGTTTCGCGCCCTATCTTCTAATTGGGCGGCGAAACTCCTTCCTCCCCTTAACGCTGATTTGGTTCACGCAAGTTCGGCTGATTGGTCATTGCTTGGTTTAGGTGCAAAATTTGAATTCACCGGACTAAACCAAGCAACACCATGGAACGGATTCCAGGGATGTACAGAGCCTTGAGCCCCAGACTTCCGACGCTGATATCTCTGGCTCTGTACATCTGATCACCCCACTTTTTGCAGGGGTCCCAGATGGGACCCAGGGCTATTCCCCCATATAAAAGTAACCCTGTACCCCCTTCCCGTCCAGAAGCGCCGAGCCCCAAAGTTTACCCCCCTGTATGTGAAGTGTACTCATGCGTGTCCCTGTGTCCTGTCAATATCTCCCAGAGCAGGAGATGGTTATCAGTTCCCCAGCCCCCCTCCTGTATGTGTGTGTGTGCTGTGCTGGATGGAGACCCCCTGTGGGGGTCTGTGCATAAAAAGCTGTATGCCCAATAAACATTGTCAAATGTTGTATCCTAGAACTGTGTCCCGTCCTGTTACTGGGGAAATGGGTCTGACCTACTCTAACCAAAGGGGATAACAAGCCAGGTTACCCAGGTCCCGCTACAACTGTAATCTTCTTTAATGTTTACACAATGTGAGATTATATCTGTAATATGTATGTGATTTTATCTGTAACAGTGTGTAATAGGTACGACGTGTGTGATTATAACTCTAACCATGTGTAACAGTGTGAGATCGTGCCAACATTATGTCTCCCTTAGTTTTTTCCCAGTTTAGGTTGGTGAATGGCGGAGGGACCTGTAAGGGAAGAATCGAGGTGTTTTACAAAGATACGTGGGGCTGGCTGAGTGACGAATTGTGGGACAGGACGAGTGCCTCAGTCCTCTGCAGACAACTGAACTGTGGGCCTGTCTTGGAAATCCTGAAAGGTGATCCATTTGGCCCTGGCTCTGGCCCATTTCTGCAGAAAGCAGTCTGTACAGGGACTGAGGATGACCTTGCTCAGTGTTTGCTGGGCATGTGGACTGAAGAGGATTCAAAAAGCAATCATCAAAGTGCAGGAGTGAGCTGCTTGACTGCAGGTGAGTTTGTAGAAAGTCGTGCCAACATGCAGTCTCAATGCAATGTGTCGCTTATTCCAACATAAAATATTTCAGGGTTACGAAATGAATGGCAGTTGATCTATTCACCCACAATGATAACAACATGGTTGATGTGAAAGGTCATATTTACACAGCCAGGCAGAACCTTTGGTTACACACCCATCCCATAATGTGTGTACATGGACCATCCACAATGTCATAACGCTCTGGGTTTGTGTAGAGGTGACTGAAAAAGCCTGATTCTGTGCAGTGTGAAGCAAAACCTGACAGAAACTCCTAGAGCATAAAGGTTTGCTTTTAAACTGTTGCAGCCAAAACAAGGTGTTAAAATTCGGGAAAAGGAAGGCGTTAAAGCAAAGAAGGTCAATGTAAGGGGAAAGTTAGACTTAGGGGGCCTAGTGTGAGGGTATGTGGAATTGAGGACTTTGATGTTTTTTAGAGTTCGGACTGTCCAGGGATAGGCAACCTTCGGCACTCCAGATGTTGTGGACTACATCTCCCATAACCGGCAAAGCATCATGGGATGTGTAGTCCAAAACGTCTGGAATGCCGAAGGTTGCCTATGCCTGGTCTAGGGTTAGGGAGTGCTTAGGGTTAGGGAGTGTTTAAGGTTAGGGAGTGTTTAGGGTTAGGGCATGTTTGGGGTTAGGGCATGTTTATGGTTAGGGAGTGTTTGGGGTTAGGGAGTGTTTAGGGTTAGGGCATGTTTAGGGTTAGGGAGTGTTTGGGGTTAGCGAGTGTTTGGGGTTAGGGAATGTTTATGGTTAGGGAGTGTTTAGGGTTAGGGAGTGTTTAGGGTTAGATGGTGGTTATGGTTAGGGCGTGTTTATGGTTAGGGAGTGTTAATGGTTAGGGAGTGTTTATGGTTAGGGGGTGTTTAGGGTTAGGGAGTGTTTAGGGTTAGGGAGTGTTTAGGGTTAGGGCGTGTTTAGGGTTAGGGCGTGTTTAGGGTTAGATGGTGGTTATGGTTAGGGCGTGTTTATGGTTAGGGAATGTTTAGGGTTAGGGAATGTTTAGGGTTAGGGGGTGTTTAGGGTTAGGGATTGTTTATGGTTAGAGAGTGTTTAAGGTTAGGAAGTGTTTAGGGTTAGGGAGTGTTTAGGGTTAGGGAGTGTTTAGGGTTAGGGGTGTTTAGGGTTAGATGGTGGTTATGGTTGGGGCATGTTTATGGTTAGGGAGTGTTAATGGTTAGGGAATGTTTATGGTTAGGGGGTGTTTAGGGTTAGGGGTGTTTAGGGTGTGTTTAGGGTTCGGGAGTGTTTAGGGTTAGGGATTGTTTAGGGTTAGGGCGTGTTTAGGGTTAGGGAGTGGGTTAGGGCGTGTTTAGGGTGGTTAATGGTTAGGGAGTGTTTATTGTTAGGGGGTGTTTATGGTTAGGGGGTGTTTAGGGTTAGGGAGTGTTTAGGGTTAGGGCGTGTTTAGGGTTAGGGAGTGTTTAGGGTTAGATGGTGGTTATGGTTAGGGGGTGTTTATGGTTAGGGAGTGTTTAGGGTTAGATGGTGGTTATGGTTAGGGCGTGTTTATGGTTAGGGAGTGTTAATGGTTAGGGAGTGTTTATGGTTAGGGGGTGTTTAGGGTTAGGGAGTGTTTAGGGTTAGGGAGTGTTTAGGGTTAGGGCGTGTTTAGGGTTAGATGGTGGTTATGGTTAGGGCGTGTTAAAGGACCACTATAGTGCCAGGAAAACATACTCGTTTTCCTGGCACTATAGTGCCCTGAGGGTGCCCCCACCCTCAGGGACCCCCTCCCGCCCGGCTCTGGAAGGGGGAAAGGGGTAATAACTTACCTTTTTCCAGCGCTGGGCGGAGAGCTCTCCTCTCCGCCTCCGATCCTCCCCACGCCCGGCTGAATGCATGCTTGGCGGCAAAACTGCGGCATTCAGCCGTCGCATAGGAAAGCATTTACAATGCTTTCCTATGGGCGCTAGCGTGCTCTCACTGTGAAAATCACAGTGAGAAGCATGGCATAGTATTATGTCAATGGGGCAGCCACTAGAATAGGGAAGGCTTAACCCATTCATAATTATAGCAGTTTCTCTGAAACTGCTATGATTATGAAAAAATAATTAAGCCTAGAACTTTCTAGCACCCAGACCACTTCATTAAGCTGAAGTGGTCTGGGTGCCTAGAGTAGTCCTTTAATGGTTAGGGAGTGTTAATGGTTAGGGAGTGTTTATGGTTAGGGCGTGTTTATGGTTAGGGCGTGTTTATGGTTAGGGAGTGTTAATGGTTAGGGAATGTTTATGGTTAGGGTGTGTTTAGGGTTAGGGAGTGTTTGGGGTTAGGGAATGTTTAGGGTTAGGGAGTGTTTAGGGTTAGGGAGTGTTTAGGGTTAGGGAGTGTTTAGGGTTAGATGGTGGTTATGGTTAGGGCGTGTTTATGGTTAGGGAGTGTTAATGGTTAGGGAATGTTTATGGTTAGGGGGTGTTTAGGGTTAGGGAGTGTTTAGGGTTAGGGGGTGTTTAGGGTTAGGGAGTGTTTAGGGTTAGGGGGTGTTTAGGGTTAGGGAGTGTTTAGGGTTAGGGAGTGTTAATGGTTAGGGAATGTTTATGGTTAGGGAGTGTTTAGGGTTAGGGTGTGTTTAGGGTTAGGGAGTGTTTGGGGTTAGGGAATGTTTAGGGTTAGGGAGTGTTTAGGGTTAGATGGTGTTTATGGTTAGGGTGTGTTTATGGTTAGGGAATGTTTATGGTTAGGGGGTGTTTAGGGTTAGGGAGTGTTTAGGGTTAGGGGGTGTTTAGGGTTAGGGAGTGTTTAGGGTTAGGGAGTGTTTAGGGTTAGGGGGTGTTTAGGGTTAGGGAGTGTTTAGGGTTAGGGATTGTTAATGGTTAGGGAATGTTTATGGTTAGGGTGTGTTTAGGGTTAGGGTGTGTTTAGGGTTAGGGTGTGTTTAGGGTTAGGGAGTGTTTGGGGTTAGGGAATGTTTAGGGTTAGGGAGTGTTTAGGGTTAGATGGTGGTTATGGTTAGGGCGTGTTTATGGTTAGGGCGTGTTTATGGTTAGGGAATGTTTATGGTTAGGGGGTGTTTAGGGTTAGGGAGTGTTTAGGGTTAGGGGGTGTTTAGGGTTAGGGAGTGTTTAGGGTTAGGGATTGTTTATGGTTAGAGAGTGTTTAAGGTTAGGGAGTGTTTAGGGTTAGGGATTGTTTAGGGTTACCGATTGTGTAGGGTTACGGAGTGTTTAGGGTTAGGAAGTGTTTAAGTTTAGGGAGTGTTTATCCCCTTAACGCCGTTATGGCGTTCTATGCCATCCCGCATTTAATGGCCTTTAAAGCCGTTGCGGCGGCATAGAATGCCGTAACGGCTGAAGCCCCCAGGACCTCGGCGGTACTCACCTCCGCCGCGATCTTCTCCTGGAGACCTGCCTGACAGCCCGGGCAGCCCTCCCCCGGCATGTGATCGCTCTCAAATAGCGATCACATGGCCCCTTATAGCTGGCTGTGGATCTGCCAGCAGGGGGGCTGTCTGAAATATCAGGTAGTCCTCTTGCTGGTGGGAAGTGTAAAAAAAAAAAAATATTAAACATGTTAAAATAAAATAAGTGCATTTTTATATATAATGGATGTATATCTATTATATATATAATATATATACTTTTTATATATATGCAACGTCATACGTAATGTATTTTAATATTAATATAAATATATATATTAGTATTAAAATACACTTAGAATGACATTACATATATATAATATGTATATATATTATATATATATGTATATATACGTATAATTACAATAATAAATAAAATAATAAAATAAATAAATAAAATATTGAAACAAAATGTAATATAAATTATATATTCATATGTAATTTCATTCTAACTGTATTTTGTTATTAATATATATATATATATATATATATATATATTGGTAACAAAATACACTTAGAATGACATTCTATATATATCTATCTATATATAAAATACAAATAACAGCAAATATATATATATATATATATATATATATAGATAAATACATATAATTACATAAAAGATTACATTAGTATACACGTAAAATTTAAATACCTATAAATGCATATATATTAAAATTCTACGTTTATATTTAAGTAATTTTTTAACATAATTATGTGATTTGATTAATTAAAATTTGATTGACATGCCTGACAACACAGGGAGAAAGTGCAGAGAATTTAATTTGCAAGCACTATATTTGACCCTGTAACTCTCCAAGACACCATAAAACCTGTACATAGGGGGTACTGTTTTACTCGGGAGACTTCGCTGAACTCAAATATTAGTGTTTAAAACTGGTAAATTGTATTACAATGATGATATTTTAAGTAAAAGTTAAGTTTTTTTCATTTTTTACAAACGAACTGCACTTTTATGAACTATATTATTGTTGTAATATGTTTTACTGTTTTAAAACACTAATATTTGTGTTTAGTGAAGTCTCCCGAGAATAACAATACCCCCATGTACAGGTTTTATTGTGTTTTGGAAAGTTAGAGAGTCACATATAAGGCTTGCATTTCATTTTTTTGAC